ATGTATTTAGGGGCGTATGAATATAGACGGGGTATGGATTGGTGATGGTAGCCGAGCGGGTCTAAGGCATGTACTGTCTTCGCTAGCTTGGAAACCGAGATCGTGGGTTCGAATCCCACTCAGGACATGGATGTTTAGTTTGTGTGTGCGCACTTTTCTGTGTTTGTATGCAGGTAGAGGCCTTGCGACTAGCTGATCACCCGCCCATGAAGTCCTACCGAAGGTGTAAGATCTAGAAAAACCGAAGTGAGCGGAGAAGTTCATGGAGGCAGGCCTAGGCCCACTGGGGCTGTAGTGCCAAGGGAAAAAAAATGGATTGGTTATCGAATTTATTGACACCTTTATAAAAGATAAAACAGTTCCGTCCAGTGTGACTGGTGATGTTTTTCTTATTTCAATTCTTCATGCCCTTACATGTTTCGGTCCTTAGAGACCATCATCAGAGGGCCATCTATACAGTTTGGAAACCACTGTTACGTACAATGTGTGTTCTGAATGTTAAAATATATATACATATACATATAAAATATATGTACATAAAATGTTAACAATACACAAATGGATACAAAATCCAAAGTTTTCACAACCACAGTGGCTGTCTTGATATATTAAATTTAAAACATATTTTTTTAATTTTTTTTTAATTCTTAAAAATTAGTATTTTTAATACTAGTGGGGTGGGACTAAGTCCCTTGTACTGCGGCCACTTCTGGCCTATTGTATAAAAAAATAGTAAAAACAACAGCGCGCCACGAACAACCACGGGACGACATCAAAAAAAACCTTCTTCTCAAGAAAGACAGGCGGCAAAAGTTCGGCCCCCGTCAGGAGAGCTGATAAGAGAGAGGACACGAACCTATGTGGTTTATAAATTCTAACTTAAATAAAAAAGTTTAAAAGAATAATATATCAAGACAGCCGCTGTAGTTGTAAAAAGCTTTGGATTTTGTATCTATTTGTGTATTGTCAACATTGTATGTATATATATATATTTTAACATTCAGAACACCCATTGTTAATAGTGGTTTCCAAACTGTACCGATGTCCCTCTGTGATGATCTCTAAGGACCGAAACATGTAAGGGCATGAAGAATTGAAATAAGAAAAACATCACCAGTCACACTGGACGGAACTGTTTAACTTTTTATAATATGGCTAGTGTGACGGACCAGAATGATACAAATCAAATTTATTGACACCTTCACACACCTCGGGGCTACAAGCAATACAGCGCTATCGCTGATCTGCACACTTCACAGTTCACCTTTGCAGAACACACTAGGGTTCCCAGTCTTCACTAGTCGTATCCTGGCAATGGATTTATAACAGTCTCACTGTCACTTCAAACCACACATGACGTCTTCTAAGGGCCTAATTCCCTTCTTATCCTTACTTTGCAACTGCAAATTCCGAAGCCTCTACTCAGTTCAATTCCTCTGCTCCCAAGCAGGCTGACTTCTCGAAACTCGACCCAATTCTCAACTGAGCTGCTCTCTATAACCAATTTACACGGACCACACATAAAACACAGCCTCCCTATTTTTGGGAAGGCGTGATTACAGCGCCGTTGCATTGCAACGGAAGTAACTCGACTATTTCTTGCGTATTCGTTGCTGCGCGTGTGTGTTTACGAAATCTTTGCTGAACATTCAACGTCTATTCTGACTTCACTATTGCGGCTTTCGGGCGTCATGTCACAATATTTTCAATTAACCTACTCTTTCCAGCTGCATTATGTCCCTGGGGTTAAAGGTCGGCCGGTGCCATCTGTGAGCCAATTGTATAGAAAATGTGGGAGCCTCGACGTCTCACAACCCTATCGGCCTCCATGGCCTGTTACAGGGATAGCTTTATTTTTTACAACAGTAATGACAGTGAAGTAAGGTGTAGTTTGCGAATGACGTACATTCCTGTCTGATTAGACGCATGTGAGCTTGTAGACGCCTCTGCACCCACGCCACGGTACCAGCCAGTGGTAGAGAGGAGGTAGGTAGAAGAAGCTAATCCACTACTACCTCCGCTGGATAATTTGCGGGCATTTTGGTGCCAGGCCCTACCAGCCGTAGAAACATGGTATGCACCGCCACGTCCTTTCTATTGATCTCCCATTCGCTGTCTCCCGCTTGTCACTTTTTGTAGTCAGTCTTTTATTATCCCTATATAGGAAGGTTGTTTAAATTTGATAGATTGCTAAGTAAGCTGTTCTCTTTCTGACATCTTTGTAACCCTTAAATTCTGAAGTCGTTAATTTCCGCAATGAATCCCCTCTCCAACGGGTGCAGGAATTCGAAAGGAGCTGTTTATATATCGGCTTCGAAGTAGAATTGAGTCGATAAGTAAATTAATGGAATGGAATGCTCAAATAGGCTTCGTTAATATATAAATATATTACCTTTTTTTTATTGCTAGTGGGGTGGGACTAAGTCCCTTGTACTGCAGCCACTTCTGGCCTATTGTACCAGCCCCAGATGATAGGTGAGGGTGATTGTGGAGCAATTGGTGGAATGAAGATTGGCAGGGGAAACCGAAGTACTCGGAGGAAACCTGCCCCAACGCCACTTTGTCCACCACAAATCCCACTTGACCAGACCCCCGGGATCGAACCCGGGCCCCCGCGGTGGGAAGCCAGCGACTAACCGGTTGAGCTTTGGCGGGGCCAAATATATTACCTTGGTAGATCTTTCGGTAACATCCCAGGCGGGAGATATGGATCTCGGGGTTTAACTTAACAAGTGCGTGAGATTTATGGGAAGCGATAAATTAGCCGTAGCGTGAATCTGATTTCCGTCTAATTCCATCACCGATTTTTTCCAAATGCATTCCACCTCACCGTTCATAATCTTGTTAGTTATTCAGGACCGTACAATTTATGCAATAAATAGAATGGTGACCTAAAATAAAGCAAATGCTCCTTTACAATTAACCACTATGCTGTAAGAGTGCATGTGAGTGTGGTAGTATAGCTCAACGCATTTTTAACCTCGGCACTAAATGCTTAACTAATTAAGCACTGCGCCATAAAGACGTATGGGGGAGTAGAAGTATAGCTCCACCATTCAAGACCTCGACACTAGCTGGAGGTGAGTGGTAAACTTCACGTCCCGGTCGCTTTATCCCAGGAGAAATAGCCACCTGTGGATGGGCCCCAGTGCCGGTCTGGACGATGTGGAGAAGAGAAGCTTGCCCTACAGGGACTCGAACTCTGACCCCGCAGTCATCCAGTCCGTAGCAAGTCGCTTTCCCCACATTCCCATAAAGTAAGTAAAGCCATCCCTGTAACAGGCCGTGGAGGCCCACAGGGTTGCGAGATGTTGAGGTTCCCATATTTTCTAGACAATCGACTTATAGATGGCGGCAAGGTTGTCAACCCCTATGCGCCGGCCGTCCTTTACCCCAAAGAATATTGGTGGTACTCATTTCTGTTAGAAGCTGAGTCATAGTGCGGCTGAAAGGATTAGGTCAATTGAAAAAAATCCAATGACCTCATCGGGACTTGAACCCGCGACCTTCCGGCTTGTAGCATAGTGCCTCAACCAACTACGCTACCACGTGCCCCCCTCCCTCCCCACACATTCCCATATTCCCATAAGTACGGATAATGAATATTGGTTTGAACTGGCTAGAAAGTATAAGCCCATGTTTCTTGGTTGATAATCAGTCTTAGGCGCTACATGAAGACTGGATTTGAGGTTCTCACTGTGGCGAATATCAAGAGTACGGTCTTTTGGTGATGTGACGCAAATTACAGAAGACCGTCATTTTTTGACGTCAGAAGAAGCCTATTTCAAGGTGAACTGCCATGTTCGTGGCGTGGGAAATATTTTTAAATATATGGGTTTTTTTTGCGTAAACACGTTTGAATGAATATATTTTTGTGACGATCCTTATGTCCATATCATGAAATACGGGAGTATGTAAACACAGAGGCATGAGCTGAATGCGTTTTGTTAAATACGAATGCCTATATCCCACAGCACGGACGGAGCCTCCGACAGTGGCGGCGGGATATTGATTTAGCACAGGTCTGGAAAGTTCCAGTGTCGTATCGCCCCGTACCGACCCCCTCCATCGCTGTGAACCTTGTACCGTGAGACTGTCCGCCTGCCAATCTTTCTTCGTCCATTAAATTTCCATACAAACCAATTACGTAAATGTCAGTAAAGGAAGTTATTTTATTTGACACACTTTTTGACTCATAACTCTATTTAAAACCTATTCTTCAATGTTAACAATACACCTACGTCCACAACAGTAGTCTGCTTTTATTACTAGGTTATGGAGTGACGTAAACATTTAATGCGAAGCTAAAAAATCAGGATGCTAATTCAGATATTTTGTGTTTTTATTGCGTGGATGTGGACAGGATTTCTAACGTAAGATTTGAGGCTTTCACGGCGGTGACTATGAAGAAAGGAGTCTTCTGGGATTTGGCACCGTGTATATGTGGTGTTAACCGACGTTTCGGAGGAACGTATCGCCTCCATCTTCAGGGTAGAAGGAAAAATATAAGAAATCCTAAAGCGAAGAGACCGTGAGAACTGGTAAAAGCAGACGTTCCTCCGAAACGTCGGTTAACACCACATATACACGGTGCCAAATCCCAGAAGACTGCTTTCTTCAGGATTTCTAACGTTTCGGAGGTGCATGCTGCCTCCATCTATATTGTCAATTTTTGTTCTGCCCTTTTGTTCTTTTCTAAACATTAACTTGTATACACATAGAAACTCGCCCCACTATACATTTCGACCCTGAAAACGGTGGTAGCATGTACCTCCGAAACGTTGGCAACATAACCTACATCCAAATGGTGTAAATAACCAAGAGTTAAATTGACATCAACGGTTAACCACAGAGAAATCAGATACAGATTTTATTATAATGCTTCAGTTGTTGTTGTGGTAATGCTATGGGAGCTAGCCAGAGAAACACAACAAAAAAATTATGCTATGCTATGCTATGGAGACTACCAAATTAACAGGTAAAATAATCTGTCTTTGCAGATCTCTTATTGTAAAATTCACTGCGCATAATGACCACCTACTTCAACTACCCTTCACCCGCCCTGCAAGAGGAGCTGTCCAAGATCGCGAATGCGATTGTAGCACCAGGAAAGGGCATTCTTGCTGCTGATGAGTCTACAGCTACCATTGGCAAGCGATTTGCTGACATAGGCATCGACAACACGGATGAGAACCGTCGCCTGTACAGACAGGTATGTTTCTATTGGTATCAGCTAGCACATTTCTTTGAGGTTTCTGTTTTACTGATAGTGATGCTGTGTAGTCCAGTAAAACGATACCAACATTTCTGAGGAACAAAACTCAATTTGCAAGGTAGAGGCAATAAAACGTGATATGTTGGCCACTTCTGTAAGAAAGGTGACCAACAAGGACAGGTAAATTATGATTACCCACCTGCCTCCCAAAGCACAGAAGATGAAGGTATATAAGCCCAATGTTCTGTTTGTTCGTTTGTGATGCATACATGCTCACATGTGCATTTGTGTGTGTGCATGTATGTACACACTCATATCCAAAAATCATAATTAGCAATTGGTTGCTTGTTGTACATTATCCCTTGCTTTGGGAAAAATAAATAAATTAAAAGACAAATGATAATTTTCCCCAATTCCCACCCTACCAAAGTAACATGCCTACATCCAAACTAGACTCACATTTGCGCTTAAGATTAAGCAAGCAGGTTTCTCTGAAATAATGATACCAATTTTTCAAACTACATGGTGTCACATCCCAGAAATACACAATCTTGATACTTACCACCATGAGTAAGCGGCCTCCATAGTCTAGAGGTAATGTTCCCACCTCATGACTCGTAGTACGCGGGTTCAAATACCCGGCGGAGGTTGTCGAATTTTTAAGGGCGGAAAAATTCGGGGAACAAGTCCTCCGGGAGGGACTTTAAGCGTGGCTCCCGTGTCGTAGCTTTACGGCACTTAAAAGAACCTCATATCTCCAAAGGAGGTCACTGAGCCAAATTACGGACGTTTCCCGCCCAACAGCAGTCTCTAATACCTCTGGTAGATGGAGGAAGCATTATAGATTCCTCTCAGCTAGTAGAGCCGGTCTCGCTGGCTGGGCGGGACTGATGGTAAGCACCAGTACCGGTAGGATATAGAGACTGGTAGAAATCATAGAGGGAAGCACAATGGACCAATACAGGTCTAAGTGCATGGGGAAACCCACCCTCTCCAATAACTAACTAACTAACTAACTAACTACCACCATGAGTACCTCAAATATCTCAGATTTATTTAATTTAAACATAGGCTTATATGAATATGACCTTAGGAGAATATATTGTGACAATAAGAACTTTACTGAACTGTCACTGGATCATGTCTTGAGATGGGCTGTAGTACTGGGGTACTGTTACTAGAGAGTCCATCAAGTAGTATCACACAGCATACAAAAATACACCTTCATATAATGTAGGAGTATTGGCGGACACCACATCTGGCTTGGATGTAGTGATGAAGAGAAAAATCTTTGTTTTTGTCAGAAATCCAAAGCTGCTAATCCAGCCCAGAGCCAGTTTGTACTGACTGAGCTGCCTCACAATATCAAAATGTAAATCCATTCAGTTTTTCAGAGTACTGTAACCTTCTCATCCATATCTGTGTACCCATATAAACCAATCTGACTTTTCTTTATCTGTCCATTTCACAGCTGTCGAAAGAGAAATTGTGATGATTAAAATGGACTGGGGTAACTCAGAAGAGGGTTCAGTTATGATGGGTTCCATAATGGTGGTAAATTTCTGGTTAGCCAATAATTACACAGCACAACAAATTTTCTTTCAATGAAGAAATGAAATGAACTGTTTTTTGACTAAGTTGAATATGCTGATAAGAAAAATGACAGTCACAATCTTGTAACACAGTTCTTTTGTGTGTATGCGAGATATGTGAACATACCTCTACATGCTAATAATTATGGAATTTGTTTATGTTATTTAACTAAGAATAAAGTTTTGTTCACTAAATAATAATATTATCTCACAAAATTTATAAGAATAGTAAGAATATAAAATACAAACATAAAAATAATGTACTCCCCTGGCTCAAAATATATGAGTTGCTGAAGAAAGATTATGCTGTTACTCATGCACACTGCTTACCTTTTCCCAACTGTATAAGTTAAGAATAACCAGCTTGACCCTGACTTGACCTTAGAATTCATTGTGACGCTTCTTAGGTTTCAGGGGAGTGGGTGGAGGGTTCTCTAACATAAGATTGCCTTTTGACATCAACCATATGATGACATTCTCAGTTAATGTTTGGCAAGGTACCAAGTATTGCATTAGTTTTATTTGGTTTATAGTAGCAGTTATGTGCACACAGATTAAATGAGAGAAACTGCCATGTCTCGGCATAACATTAATTCTTAGTGCAAAAATGTGTATCAAATAGTAAAATAAGAAATTTTGATTGTCATTCATTCTAACAAGACTGAAGCACAATATTTGCTGAAATTTACATAAATAATTTTCAGCCAGTTTACCTCAAATTCATCATTCACTTATCATTTTCCTTTTGAAGTTGCTGTCTTCTGAGATAAGATGCTACATTATCTGGTAGATCATTACTGGCATTCTGGGCAACATTTGCCTTCATCTTAAAGTAGAAGAATTGTGAAGTAGCGTATTCCTTCAAAACATCTATAATCTCTTGAACTATATGGCAACACATCCAAGGAATAAGTAATCTTCAAAGTCACTACTGTAAGAACCTCAGACCTTGCATGTTACATCTGTTACTACATATCTCCATCAAGGAGACATGTATTTGGGTAAGGAGACTTTGAATCTCATGCTATTTCTCATAATTTGACTCAGTTTCCCAGGCTGTTTTTGGCCACACTAAAAATGACAGATTGTGATAGATTATTACTGATGTTTTAGAGGAATGTGCTGTCACCATCTTCAGGGTAGAATAGTGGAGAGGCTGCACTGTCCTTTGAAATGTCGGTAACAATCTACCAGAATATATGGCGTCATATCCCAGAATACAGTAATCTTTTTGTCACCGCGACGAAAACCTCAAATCTTGCATTCTTTCATTTTCTTTAAAAAGTATCAAAATGCAGTGGGTATAAAATGTATTAATCAAAATTCTACTCTAAGAAATGTAATTAAAATTTGTTTCCTTCTTCATATATGCGACATATTTAAGAGCCATAACAGCTGATAGGATATACAGTGAACCAGAAAATTTGCTGACAAACTTATTTGTAAGCCATCGAAGTATATTTTTACATATTCCCCTGAAGTATTCAGGATGGAAGAGTAGATTTTTAAAAGTAATTTACTTTTTTTGATGTTGATATTTGGTATATTTCCTTCTCTTCTTTAAATTTTGTTTTTTTTTTTTTATCTGGGAGGGGGTAAATACCTATCTCCCACCTTCCCCCTTCCAATGGTATTAACTGATTCTTTCTATGTATTTTTTATTTAATGACACCATCATTAGCTAAACTATATGGCATTGAATTACTGGATGAAAATGAAGAGCGAATTGGAAATTGTATGAAACGGGCAGTCAGATTGCTCGCCCTTGTAAGCCTTTGATGTTAAGTGAGTTGTGAGACTTGCGTTATTCTGTTGCAGCTCCTGTTTACTTCAGACAAAGTGGTGGCAGAGAACATCTCTGGTGTGATTCTGTTCCACGAGACCTTGTACCAGAAAGCTGATGATGGAACACCATTTGTAGAACTGCTGAAGCAAAGAGGAATCATCCCTGGCATCAAAGTTGATAAGGGTGTTGTTCCTCTTTTTGGTTCAGAGGATGAGGGCACCACACAGGGTAAAGTTCTGTTTCCTTTTTAATTGCATTACTTTTGTTACTGTTACCATTGTCACCACCACCATTATAAGTTAGTCTGAATGGCTTTTTCCAGATTATAGTGTAATTCTACTCTTGAAATACATGTTTCTATTGAATTTAAAGTTGTTTGACAATGGCATGACACGAAGTTTAATGTTTGTTTTTTCTTTCTTTCTTTCTTTCTTTCTTTCTTTCTTTCTTTCTTTCTTTCTTTCTTTCTTTCTTTCTTTCTTTCTTTCTTTCTTTCTTTCTGCCTTCCTTCCCCTCCCCCACTTGACCATTTCCCTGGCACTTATGTAAGAACTACAGCCCTTAAGAAATGCCTTCTGTTTCTGTTTCTGGTTTATGAAGAAATACCCACGCTCTTCGGACCCTAGGAAAAGCTGCTGTCTCACCTTGTTTGATTATGCCTAGGAGTCCAACAGAGTGTGAATTTCTTCATACCGATTTCATGAGGATGGAAACAGAATGATGTTGTTTTTGTATAAAAGAAATGAAGGCAATGGAAAAAATAAAAAAAAGGCACAGTTCTGATTATCCTCTGCTTTTTTGAATCATTGAAAGTCATGATTTCTATCCTTAGTTTACTGTAAAGTGTATTTGTTGTATTCAGAAGACCCGGCATTTCTTACTAGCCAGGATTTTTCATGATTTTTATTTACCTCTTCATAGAGTGGTGAGGAGAATATTTGAACATAGGAAATTATATAGTGGGGACCTAAATTTAGTATTGTTGAAGTGATTAAAGTGTGAAGCTTAAAACTAGCAAGACTTTATGCATGCATGCAAAGAAAATGAAATTCATATGGAATTCATAATTGAAATCTACATGGGAAAAGGAAAATTTAAAACTTTGCTCAAATGAAATAGGTTGAGAGAGTGTGAACAGGACAGGATGCAGTGGAAGGCTTCTGCTGTAATGGAACCTTCAGATTCCTTATGACAAGAAATTTTTGAGTGTATAGTTTTCATGAGAACTACCTTACTACAGCATCTTCATGTCACCATAGGTCTTACAGCAAAAGTGTTGGACCTCGAATTATATCATCATAGGCAAAACAGCCCTTTTTGAGCTACAGCCTTCCTTAGAAGATTCTGCCATATTTGTTTATTAATTGGACCAACCAGCTTTCACTTCTTTGGATTTTGTAAAAGCTGTTTTACTGAGCAAGGTCAACAGCATTGCATCCAACCCCCAACCTAGAGGACCAAGTCTCTGCATTTATTTTCCACAGTGACAGGGTGGGCCAGTTTTAACCACAGGAACTGGGTTTCCCTTTTTGTTGCCTACTATAGCTCACAGGGCTAAGGTGGAGGTATTCTATGCCACCTGAATACAGGGACTAATTATAACATACTGGTCGAATTGTCATTTTATTCTTAATGAGATGTGTTTCTTTTATCAAATAAATTATCACTTTCATGCACAGGTATATCTAGTCTATTTTTTCCATCACATTCTGTGATTTTACTTTCTTTGTATATATTTCAGTAGACTGCTCTTTAAATGTAATTCTATCAAAGCAGTTTCATATAGAAGTAATGGTGTAATCTTGTGCTTGAATTCAAATATTGGCAAAGTGAACTGATGATTTTTTTTGCCACAATCCACAGCCTCTTCAAGCAAATTCTGAGATAGTACCTTCATGTAAGCAATAACCATTTTTTTTTAATCCTTATCCACACACCATTCATGACATATTCCTGTCTCATGTCGTGTTTTAAAACCTCTCCTAAGGAAATTGCATCATTAAATAACTCATGAATCAATCAATTCTAAACCCATCATATCTTTTCCAGTTTATTGCTGAGAGTTTTATTTGCTTTTCATTCTGGGGTTTATGCTCCCCAACAGAACCATAATGTGAAGTCTTGAAGAGTGTGATGACATATAGAGTATTAGGCAGATACCAACATTTCAGAGAAATTTGCTGCTTCTGTCTTGTTTCTTGTGCCCTGAAGATATATGCAGCAGATTGTCCCAAAACATACCTATCTACCAAACTCTATCGGGTCACATTCCAAAAGACAGTATATCACAATGTGAACATCAAATGTCACAGAACCAGACTAAACTGACTGTGCTGTGTTCTAGGACTGGATGACCTTGCCCAGCGTTGTGCACAGTACAAGAAGGATGGCTGTCACTTTGCCAAGTGGCGTTGTGTGCTCAAGATCAAGCGTAACACTCCATCATATCAGGCCATTTTGGAGAATGCCAATGTTCTGGCTCGCTATGCTTCCATCTGCCAAGCAAACCGCATTGTGCCCATCGTAGAACCTGAGGTAATGTACCCATAGAAGCTACCTTTCACTGTTGTGGGTGCTCATCTGTTCGCTCATCTGTGCAATGCAATGCAATGCTGATTTCTGCTTTTAAGACATTTTTCAGAGACAACAGTTCTAAGAAATTAATGTTTTGGAACTAACTTTTATTCAAAATGTAAAATGTAATGTGTTTAGGGCCTTTACTTCTTCTTATTATCATTATTATCATCATTATCATCATCAATATCATTTTCAGTTTGTTAGGCCCATGCCCAACCCCCCAACCTGCATGACCAGGTACTACATTTTGTATGGTCCCTACCCTTTGACCTGTCTGGCATGAGTGGCCCTAGCAGAAGCTTACAGTCCCTCCAGCATAGCTCTCCAGGTCACAGAGGCACACAAACATCTCCACAATAAAGGAGGGCCTTTATCTACAGGGATGAAATACTTCATTTATACCTAAATTATAACAGGAGAATGAAAATTGGCATTGCATAGATATATTTTTGTTCACTTACAGTAAAACAGTTAATATGTATAGCTACATGTGTTTAAAAGTGTATAGAGGGATTTTCAGTTATTCTGTGTGACTGTTGTCCACCGAAAGTGACCACCTTGTGAAAAATCATTTAGATATACAAGTAGATGGCCCAAGTTCTGTCACTTAATACTTGGGCCTGTTCATGCCAAAGATGTTAAGATAAAGTCAAATGATGTTTTGTTTGTACTACTAGTATTTATACGGTACGTTACATGGCTTCATGCTGAAAAATTCAAATATCATGATAGTACATGTCAACTGCACTTACAGATTGCTACGTTCAAGGACATACACTACACTATATCAGCACATCAGCGGCCTCCGTAGTCTAGGGGTAACGTTCCCACCTCATGACTCAAGGTACGCGGGTTCAAACCCGGCAGAGGTCGTGGAATTTTTAACGGTGGAAAAATTCGGGGAACAAGTCCTCCGGGAGGGACTTTAAGCCGTGGGTCCCGTGTCGTAGATTTACGGCACGTAAAAGAACCTCATGTCTCTAGGAGACCTCTGAGCTAAATCAGGCAAATTTCCCGCCCAAGTAGTTTCCAATGCCTCCGGTAGATGGGGGAGCTTAGGTACCACTGCCACAGGAGGGACGACCTCACTGACAGAAAGGGACTAACTATTAGATACCACTGCCAGTAGAAGGCCGAAACCTCGCTGGCAGAAGGGAATGATAGCAAGCACCAGTACCAGTAGGGTATGGAGACAGTAGAAATTCAAAGGGGGACGCACAGTAGATCAAACTGGTCGCGGTGCATGGGGTAACCCACCCCCTCAATACTGAATACTCAATATCAGCACATCAGTCCTTGCATTCAGACTCTTACATTCTGCTTATGTCACTCAGTCTTCAAGGACATGTATTACTCTTTCAGCACATCAACCCTTACCTGAGAACTGCATGGTGCACTATATTAATCAACCCCCGGCTATTCACTGAACAGAAATATGCTTAAAAGACTGCTCTGAATATTCAGATTAACTTACAACTTGAAGGTTTGTTTTGGCTCACATGAACCAAGACACGTTATATGCAAAATATGAAAATTTTCATTTCATCAGTAATCTGGCATACAACAGGTCCACAGTCTCTTCCAAAACAGTTCCTCCACTTAATGCGATCTAGAGCTTTCTCCTTCAAATAAAATATCTTCTGTCCCCAAGGTCATCCAGCATCTTCTTATGTCTTTTTCCTCATCTTCTGGTCGCATACGTGATATCTCTGTTTTTGGAAAGAGACTATCCAGGAAAAGTGATAATATGGTAGTTTTTCCATTTGCTATATGAAAATATAGCATAAGAATGTGAAGTGTCAAATTATATGTGCTCAAACTAGACGAAACTTTGTAAATATCTAATAACTCAGAAACAGCAGTGAATTGTACTGAGACAGGTGCTGTCACTTTGCATCTTTGTGAAATTCAGTTGGATCTGACTTGATTCACTCTCCATGTTTTTATGTTTTAACAACATTTGCTTTGCAATATTGATATTTTTAACCAATTTGTATCATCTGAGCATGAATGTTTACAGTCAGAATAGGTAGTGTATAGTCAGAAATAAAAAGTAAGAAAGCTTTTTAGCACAAGTTTTGTGTGACTGTAATTTTATACATTTGAAATCCTGATACTTAAATTAGCACATTTAGAACTCTAATGTCCTTTACATAGAGACAGCCGGTTCATCCAAAATTCTGTACCTTTTTCCAAAATCTGTCATATCTCAGAAGACCATAATGTTAAGATTTACGGCGACTGTCTTTTCTTAAATTTTTACAGGTCTTGCCCGATGGAGATCATGACCTGGATCGTGCACAGAAAGTCACAGAAACTGTTCTGGCTGCGGTTTACAAGGCCCTAAATGACCATCATGTATTCCTGGAAGGCACACTGTTAAAACCAAACATGGTGACTGCTGGCCAGTCATGTACCACGAAGTACACTCCCAATGACATAGCAGCTGCCACAGTGACGGCCCTGAACAGGACTGTCCCAGCTGCTGTGGCAGGTATTGTCAATTTGACACACAACCTTCATGGCATCAGTCTCTATTTCTTAGGCCTGTGTCCTTCTGGAGGGTATATATATATTTCTATTATTCCAACTGTCTCGCAAATGTATAATGAAATCTTAACAGTTATTTATTATTTCTTTTTACTGCATGTTTTTATCATCAGGTGAAAAAATAAAGAGATTATTGCAATACTGACTGATTTTTCATATTTTATATATAAGTATGAAAATATGCAAAGTAAGTTGGATTGGTCAGATCCAAACCAGTTGTTACATTAAGCCTATGTACATTATAAAGTCATAATTTCTATCCTATATAATAAAACTTCAGGAGCCGAGTTAGCATAGTTGGTATAGTGACTGGCTATGGGCTGGATAATAGAGGGATCAGAGTTCAAGCAATGGGTGGGTCAGGATTTTCACTTCTCCACGTCATCCAGACTGGCTCTAGGGCCCACCCACCCTCCTCTACAATGGGTACCGGGGGCTCTTTCCCTGGAGGTAAAGTGGCAGGTGCATGAAACTGACCACTCACCTCCAGTTAGTACTGAGGTCAAGAAAATGTGGATCTATACATCCACCCCCCCCATATGCCCTCATGGCATAGTGCTTAATTAGTTAAGCACAGGAACAGCTTTACCTTTTTATATAATATATAATAAAACTTTATATTGTCCACAGGCCTTATATAATAACTGGTTCAGATCCAACCAATCCAACTTATTTTATCTATTTTCATTCTTTTAGATGTTGTTATATTTTAACAGAATTTGGTCTTTTTGTTTTCGTATAAGTCTATTTGTGCTTTCACCTGATGATGACCACATGTGGTCAAAACATGTAGTGAGAAGAAATAATAAATAATTGTAAATTTTTATTAAATGCTTGTTAGGTGGTTGGTATTTTTGTGCTATCAGTGTGTATATATGTGAAACTCAAGCAGGTTAACTCAAGTCATAATGCTTGTAGCTTGTATTCACTAAATCTCAGCACTTAGACGCTTTAATCCTCTTCTCTACACACATTTGGTGGCAATGAATGAATAAATGAATGAATGTATAAGGGGTGGGCTTCTCTGCCCTTGCACCACAACCTACAGTGATCTATTATGCTTTTTGATGGCAGTGCTTTAATGTGAATTTTTGCCACAACCATGCACCAATAACAGAGANGATATGTCCTTCTGAAACATCTGTAGACTCCTGCTGAGCTACATGGCATTACAACCTAGAATATACTGCTCTACCAGACTATGTGGGGCTGCATCCCAGAAGATAGTAGTTTTATCCTGAAATTTCTTGAGGTTTTCATCAGTCCCTTCACCCAAATGCTGGAATAGCACATTGAATTAAGCCATAATATCTTCCTTCCACATTCTTTTCAGTTCATTATCCACTCTCACTCAAACATTTGACATTATAAATTTTAAAATACTGCAAAGATACATGTGAAACAGTAAATAGATGACTCCTATATGTGGTCCAGTTACCTAATCTGACACTGAATGCATATGTTTGCACAACAAAATGTTATTCGGTTCTCACTAAATCTCAGCACTTAGACGCTTTAATCCTCTTCTCTAAACACATTTGGTGGCAATGAATGAATAAATAAATGAATGTATAAAGGGTGGGCCTTCTCTGCCCTTGCACCACAACCTACAGTGATCTATTATGCTTTTTGATGGCAGTGCTTTAATGTGAATTTTTGCCACAACCATGCACCAATAACAGAGAAGAAAAAGAAGTGAGAAAGAAGAGACAAAAATTTGGAGATGTATTGGGATTTAGGTTCATACATCAGTCAGTATTAGGATTATGGCTGTGTTATTTGGCAGAAGATTCCTACAGAAATGTTGGTACTCTCTACTATACTACATGGCATCATATCCCACAAGACTGTAATCTTAACTTGAGCTGTACTACCAATTCTCTCTGGTTTCCCATAGACCAACATTACATCTGTGTTCCCTCTTTCCTTCATTCTCCTTTGTTGTATTCACCATTACTTGGTCTGTCCAATTAGTCCTTGGTATAACCAATGGTCATTTATTGAATGTACCACACTCATTCTGTGCAATCATAGGATACCTACAGTGTATATATCAATATACCCTTAAGTCCATAAAATCTCTGTTCAATATTTCTACTCTCAGTTTATAAGAAATGTGACTGATTGTACTGGTAATGTGCTTACTAGTGAGACGTGAAAGGGAGATATATATATTGTCACATGCAGAGGTGAATTATAGATGGATTCTGGATTGGATGATTGGATTTATTGCACCTTATACATTCACATCTCAGGACTAAATGCAATAACAGCACTATTGCTGGTGTACACACTTTACAGTTCACTGTTACACATACTAGGGTTCTCAATCTTCATTAGTCATATCCTGGCAATGGATTCATGACAGTCACTGTCACTTCAAATCGCACATGAAGTCTTCATTTCACAGCCTAATTTCTTTTTTGTCATTACTGTGCAACTGCCAATTCCAAAAACTCTACTCAATTCAATTCCTCTGCTCCCAAGATCATATCCTGGCAGGCTGGCATCCTGAAACTTGACTCTTCACTTTCAATTACTGTGCTGTATTGCTCTATGCTACTGAACACTTCTTTATAAACACACTGCATGGACCACGCAGAAAACCCAGCCTCTATCATTGACGAGGAGTGTTTACTGCACCATTGACTAGCAATAAACGTCCTATTGTTGCATATGTTGGCTCAACCAGGAACGTGTTTACCGAGTCGTTGCCTAGCAGTGGGTATACGTGTACACATCACAATATATTATTTTTTAAATAAAAGCTATAGCTGAAATATATCACAGATGAGAATTCAGTAGGTCAGACTTCAGCAAATAGTTCCTCTGAACATGGATTGGCAGAAGTTTTCAGAGCAAAGGTCGGCAGTCAGATTGGAAGCTACTCAGATATATGTAGACGGCCATAGCTCTATACAACATGTAATATTGCCATGTGTGACTACACTTGGGATTTTGATCAATAGTCGGATTTATTGAATGCTTACAGCTCGTAATTATAACATCACTAATCTACACAATCTACAAATTACCACTGCAAAAACTGATGTCTTCTCACACTGCTTTATCTTCATTAGTTGTGCAACTCAAGACACTAGACTGGTATGTAACTGCTGACTCCAGCCAACAACTTGAGATTCAAGACTTCTCCACCTGGCCCTCATTATATAACCTCAGCATAAACTGCATAAAAAACACTTCTTCCAACAATTCCTCTACTGTTGTGTATTTACTCGTTCCCTTTAAAGCACGTTTAATAAACTATTCTGGTTTTTAGCCACCTCAGTAAACCATATCTTTCAGGCATAACATTCTTGTCTGGTGGACAGTCTGAGGAGGAAGCATCTGTCAACTTAGATGCTATCAACAAGTACAAAGGCAAGAAACCGTGGCCTCTCACCTTCAGCTATGGACGTGCCTTGCAGGTAGGCCTCTTTGGAGGATTTTTGAAAGAGCAGCTGCTGTATGCTTACACTGGTAGGTTATACATATCATGATCACTTTTAAGGACATTACAGAGACAGACTACTAGAATATTTAGGTTCTATCTTAAGAGTTCTGTAACAAGATATTATTTGGAAGACTTGAGGCTTGCCTGGTATTATCAGCTATTCTGTGAACTAAGGTACTTTATATCTTGTAGGAGTAATGTTACTGAGAAAATGTCCTGTGTAAAGAATGTGAATTTCTTACCATTAGTGAATACCACAAGTACATTAAAATATAATCTAGTAAATTCATAGGGATGTAATAAAGTTGTGCCAGAGGGCAAACTGGGGTGTATGGCCAATTAGTGATGTATACCCTTGTATCATCATTCAAACATTACTATATTCTATTTTTAACATACTTCCAGCATTCATACAACATTGGGAAATTCAAACATACTGGGTTAATACTTTTCTCACTAGATGGCAGAGGGTATGTATGGAGTAACTACAATATTTAGGTTGAAATCACTAGGAAGACACAGGTTTCATTCCGTGTAAGTTCAAAAGAATCTCTTCATTTTATTTAGAAGGCAAACCCTCAAAACTTATGCAGTATAGAGAAAATGAATGCCTCTACCAGTTACTTTGCAGTAAATCTGTATTCAGTGAAGGAATTAGATTCCTAAATAACAGTGTGTTAGGTAAATCATCATTGGACAGACTTGATACCTCATGGGTTAATGATGCATGAAGTCCTCCATTAATACCTGGTTACATGGATACTTACACATTTCCAAATAATTGACCCTACCTATACTGTATGTAAAACAAGAACCATTTAAAGAAAATAAAACCACAGTAAACATAAGAACATAACAAAGATAACAATGTAATAAAAGGGAGATGTGAAAGATTGAGAGAGAGATGTTAGATTCAAGAGCACAACAAGTAGGCATATCATGATGTCATGAAGAGTACTAGAGCATGTTTGGCATACTTCATGTGTTCAGATGTTCCACATTCTGCAAATAATTCTTCACATTTGCTTTTTTGAATATTACCAAATCTGTGTTTGAAAGACACACCTGAGCAAGTGTTTACTGTACTATTATGTTGCTTTGTTTTGTATTTGAATTGAGAGGTGATGGAAGAAAATTATTTACAAAAGAAAAATGTGCTGCCTATTCTGTGCAGAATATGTTAATGTATGTGTATTATGTCTGCAGGCATCAGTTCTGCGAGCATGGGGAGGGAAGCCAGAGAACGTTAATGCTGCACAGAATGAGCTAATAAAGAGAGCCAAGGTTAGTGATATGCAGTCAACACTTTACCATAAATGTTTCCCTGTCCTTGTATATGTAACCCTTACAACCATGTTGAAGGTTAGTCTAACTTGACTGATGCACAACAGAAATGCTGGACTTACGTACATACTGACTGTATATATTTTTTGCAAAGCTATAGAACTGACACAGTTGCTTCAAAATGTATTTAAGTGAAATTATTTTCAGATATGCCTTATAAAGCTGTGTATTTTGGAAAAAAACCCAACATTTCAGAGGGCAGTATCACCTCTATCTTATCTTCATTTTGGCATAGTCACTATATGTTCAGTAAATCTAGCATGTGTCTTCAGTTAAGTTGACTATTTATTATTGAACTGCATTTGCATTTGAGCTTTATTTCTTAAAGTAGTGCCTACTTGCTAACTGGTATCTGGCAAAAGCTTCTGCTGCTATCATCATACAAAAATGTTAAACTTCTAAAGCAGTGTTACATCTTTGAATTGACCCCTTGACACGCTACTTTATTTTTCAACTCAAAATAATTTAAAAAAATTAATTCAGAGTTTTTAAAATAAATGCCTCATATCCGTCACTAAAGCTTGAGTGTACAGATACTCAGTATTTGCTGTCCAGTAAGAAATTTTGGACAGTGTTCATTGTCTGAGACATATCTTATATGATATACTGACAAATATTTATGCATATATTTATTATTATTTTGATATTAGTGGTGATGGTTGGGATTGATTCCAAGCATCTTCACTAATATCAAATATTTTGAATAGACCAGCATGTGTCAGACACTGTGTAAACAGTCAGCAGTCCATTTTATTCCTTTATTTTAATGAAATTTAAAATTAAGAGAGAAATATAAGAGTGAATTGCCTACATAGAACTTCTTAAAGCAGTCTGTGTAATATCACATAAATTTTTCAGAGATGAGGTACAAGAGAAATTAGTTCTTCTTTCAGAATACTTGCTTGTACACAGTTTTCTGCTTAGATTTTCTGTAGTTGCATTCAATTCAAAACTGAATTTTGATGTTGATGTTCCAAAATATATAATAAACTTCAATTATTAGATATGTAAAGAGCATTTAGATACAAGTTTATTAAGGATCCGTAGAAAAAGTGAAATCAAAAGATTGGACTGAGATATGATAGTATCTAAAATTTGCTTGCTGCAATGTTTTTTGCATGTTCACAATGAAAAGTTGCAAAAATGTGACTTCTGGCTTCAGCATGTCACTTCTGCCCATATGTAACAACTTTAGCACTGATGAATTTATTTTGATAAAATTTGGTACTGAGGAGTTTTGCTAATATTTGCCACCATACTCCAATTTTGTTTAAAATTGGGCTACAATAATGGTCACTTTACATGAAGGTCAAGACATGTGTCTGTCTTCATCTCAGTTGTAACTCACTAACATTTTTTTGAATCAAACATGGAGAAAAAAATAAACATGTTATACCCAGCACACTTTTTCCATGAGTCGTAGAGTTTTTGATGTAATTAAACAAAGAATGTACAAAAGTTGTTACATTATTCATACATTTCTTCTTGTTTTGCACTGTCCTTGAAAATAGCTGCTAGCTGCACTTAGAATTGCTGCCATAGACTGCTGAAGTACTGGAAACTGCAATAAATCTGAGTGTGAACACTCAAGAATGTATTCTGTTTCTTGTAGCAATCTTTATATATTACTTCTTTCAGCATGAAGTTGTACTAATCAGTTTCACTTCTTTTGAATAGCTTACCTGCACTTGTTTGCTGTATGTTGTTGAAAGCATGCTTGTTACTATGTATCTTGCAGGCTAATAGCTTGGCCTGTCAAGCCAAATATGTCACTGGATCTGTCAAGAATATTGCTTCAGCTGATTCCAACTATGTCAAAAATCACTCTTACTAGATCATCAGTAGATTGCTCCAGCTCTCCTCCTCTAGACCTCATGGTTTGTATATATTTTTAAGTGTGAACATGGTCCATGAATCACAGTTATATACCATTTGAGCCCTATCAAGTCATAAATACACAATTGTATGAGATGGGGCATTATTTCTTGTCATATGATGTTTGAAACTCATATGGCACAGGCAAGCAGGTCTCTGTATACATTAATGCTAATTTCTGCCCAGAGCCAGTGTTACAGCACAGACAAATCAAATGACACCTTTGGGTAGCATGATTTTAGAGGCAGTACATTTGATTAATCCCCCCCCCCTTTCTTTTAATGAAATGAAATTGAATGTCTTCAGCTTCTTTCTTGATATAGTGACCACTAATTGGAGATAATCTAAACATGTTATACAACAATGTAAATACAATTTACTTAAAAATTGCAACACGAATGATGGTTTCCATCATAGTGGCTAGGAATTTCATTTTATCCTGACAAAATCTTGATAAAGTTGATGCTGGAAAATGTATTTGCATGATAAATGCAATATCTTATATATAATCTTCATATTTGTATTCCATATGGTAATATCATTCCTGACTCGTATGCATTTGCTTATCCTGACTGCAGGGGTTTCAAAGGGATGAAACACTACTAGAAAGAAAGAAAGAAATGATTAAAATTTTGTTACTTCTTGGTAACAAAACCAATCAGAATTGCATAACTTCTGAGAAATCTGGTGAAACTGAGGTCAAACATTGATGTCAATAATACCAGAATAAGAAAAGAGCTGCCCCCTATTGAGGTATAAAAGATACTATTATGCATTAGGGGTGACCAGCTTAATTCCTGATGCACTATTTCTCACACTGCATTTATGGGGCTCAAAACAATTTAGTTTGACATAGTATAGTGAGAATATACACTTAATTGAAATTGTGTTTCTGCACTTCCTCATTAAATTGACAAACAATGGTTCACTTGATTATAAGAAAAGTCAGTGGAGTTCAGTGAAGTCAGGTCCTTCATCTCTTAGTGATAATTGTCATGCAAGCTCCAGTTATTTTAATTCCTGTAGATAATTCAGTTAAATTATATAATAGTGTTTATTCATAAATGCAGAAATACTGATCTTTGTAATTTTAATTTAAAAATAAATTGAAATTTTGGGCACTCTTTCTTAAGTTTTGGAAGTTATTCTGTCGCTTTTCTTAGTCCCTTGAGGCAAAAGTTTTGTTGTATACTAAAATGGAACATTGATACTTCCTTTCATTCCTACCAAATTCATTATTCACATTTGTCCATCCATTCTATCTGTATGTTCTATGCAGCTGATAAAATATTGTTAAAATAGCCAGGAATCAGTTCAAGAAGGAAGCCATGTATACTCACTGAGAAAAAAATAACTCTGGCCAGTTGAATGAGTAAACACATGAATCTGTTTTTGTTGTGACTGTCAAATGGTGCCTAGAATTCCATCATAAAAATGTAGTTTTACTTATTAATGCTTTCAGTTTCTAGTGTCATATATAGCATTAAATGATAGGACTATCAGTGAATATTGGTTTATGAAGGATATGGAAGGGAGTGATTATAGCCTAAGATGTTATTCTGGGATTTGCTTTAAGGAACTGGGGAAAATCACAAAGAGTCTGTCAGGATGATGGGTCTCTCTGGCTTTGAGACTGCCAAAGTACAAAGCACAAGGGCTAACCACTCAACTGTTGTGTGTGATATTAAGCACTGTTAACATGTTTGAACATACATACAGTGCTATTTGTGGCTGATATTACCCGGTTAGATTCATGGACCACCCATGGGATTACACAATTTTAAGTTACTGAAATATTGTATTGTGCTTTTTGTTTGTAAAAGGAAAAGCAGTGTGGTAAGTATATTTAATATGCTTCAGATAGGGAAGTTTCTTTCAGTATACAAATAAACCAAGTGCATAGATAAGATGAACACCAGACATTCAGGGAGAGCACTTTTGCAGTTCGATTAATAACAGGCTGGATTCATGTGTCTGTCAGGCTTTCCTTCTGTAATTCTTCTTCCAGTTTCATGTGTTTTGATGTAAGTAGATAATTGATAATTATTTGTGTTCACCTGTACAAAATTATCTGTGGTTTTGAAAGCATGGGTATCATACAAAAAATTTGTTTTGCTTTACTGCCTTAACTCCTGTTCATTTAAATTTTGTTGAATTTTTTGCATGGTATTTTATAGCATAGTCTGATGATAATTTTCCTTGCAGCTCTGAATAGCATAGGTTAATTTGTGTGATCACACATCTCTTCAGTCATATTCATTTTTAAATTTAATAGATCTAACATGCCTTAAATACTGGAAGAAAGTATCTTGCTGAAGTAAAAGATATGAACTTAATTGTTATGTCCATCTAAAGAAATGTGTAATGAAGCATATGAAATGGCACTGAACCCTCTGCCACATCTAATTCAGTAGGAAAAAACAAACTCTGTGGTTTTAGTTTACAAGCAAACTATACTGACCGAGTGACTGCCGCTTGTTGCCGTGGTTAATGCCAACTTTCACGGACAGAGGGTGTCATGTGGTAAGCGCAACAAATACCCACAGCCGTTAATTTCGGCTTTCTAGACCAGAGCCTCTATTTCCTTGAAATAGCTCCTCAATTGTCCTCATGAGGCTGAGTGGACCCCAGTAGAACAAAGTAAGATTGTCCCCTGTTACACATAACATGCTAAAGTATAGGACATACTTGTGTTTAAAGTAAATGGCAATTAGCTTAAAGATGCATTGAACTGAAAAGGTATAGTGTAGGGTTTTAATTAAATAATTTTGTTATTAGTCTTGAATTTTAATCTGTGCAATGACCAGCATGGTTTGCTCACAATTGTCATTTTAGGCATTCTTTACAAAGTATAAAGGAATGCCTTCCTGTCAGTCTGTATCAGTGCCTAAACCATTGCAGATATTTTATTTTAATTCAATATTGAAAACTTTCACTATGCTTATGATAAATTCCAAATTCAGTTAAAATTGAACAGAAATAATAGACACTTAAATAAAGGCTGAAGTGCATTTCTGTAGCCACCTCAGCTGTCTCACTCTACATATTTGCCAGAATGAAAAATGTTTCAGATGAAAGTTGTAGAGAAAAATAACACAGTTTATGCCAGAATACTTGTATTTCCATAATGGATTTTGAGATACTTAAGCGATCAGAATATTATGACTGACCTCATAATGTGAAAGTCATTGGTCTGATTTTGATAAAATTTTACATTGGAAGCCCTTGCACAAATTTATCATAGGTCATGTCTGGGGGTCACTCTATCAGTAATGCAGTATCAATTCCTAAAACATTGGACGTTTTCCTTTTAATTCAGTTCAGTATGGGAAACTTTCACTAAGAGCTGTCATGTCCACCTTACTTAAGGCCATAAATAGATTTTTCATGTATATCATAATCCATTAATCAGATGTTATTAATATACTATAAGGAAGCATAATAGGTCTACAAAGAACACAGATACAAATTTTATATGTTACATTATCTAGAACATTTTAAACTGGGATTGACCGCAATCCCACTTTCGAAAGTTTCCTGAAAAGAGATGAGACAGCCTCACATATCCTATGTGTCACTTGGTCTAATTCACAGATTGTAGGCTTTAAAATGTACAACTTCAAGGAAGTAATAACTCACATCTTCAGAATTTTTATTCAGTAGTGAAAACTGCTCTCTTGAATGCTGGTAGAGATTGTTGAAGTTCTTAATTCTTGGAAGTACCTCTGTGAAGCTGCCTCCAACCTTGGATTCATGAATGTAAATAAATTTGTATTTGATTTGTTTCATTCTGGTCCATCACACTAATAGTATGAAAAAGTTAAATAGTTCTGTCCGGTGTGACTGATTCAGATTTTCTTATTTCAATTATTCATGCCCTTACATGTATCAGTCTTCAGATCAGAATCTGTGTGGAATATATTAAGTACTGGCAATAAAAATGTTAAAAAGGTAATAAAAAGTGGATTGAGTCTGGGTTAAAAAATTTTAGTGACATGTTATGTGTAATAGGCCACATACCCAAATATTTGACGACAATGATGATGATGATGATGATGATGATGATAGTTGTTGTTATTAAAATTATTGAAAAGCATGCAGTATGTCTAAAAATGCTATCATGGTTTCAGGCTAATGGGTTGGCTGCCAAAGGTCAATACCAGGCAGGCAGTGTACTGGGCCAAGCCGCAGACCAGGGGCTCTTCATCAAAGATCACAACTATTAAGGTGTGGTCCACAGATTTAGTCTGATGACACAAACAATCCTCTCTAGCATCACCAGGAATTTACCAACCAAGAAAACATAAGCTGGCTTCAAACCTTTAATAAAAGTACCACATTATATTGTTAACTGCAGTATGTTTCAAAGAAGTGCAAGAATTATCAAGAGCAGCAAAGGGGCATAAATTTTATCAGTTTTAACACTAAACAAGACAGATAAAGAGTAAAAAAGTAAGTGAGTAAGATTTTAAATTTGTTTTAAATAAGCTGTATAACTGTGGTTTCCAAACTGTGGTTTTACTTAATTGTTGGCATATTTTTATTGCTCACAGTCTTCAGAACTGCTCAGATATGTTTCAGAATATTCAGAATTAATCAACTTGGAACAAATTAATCAGACTAACCAAGTCATCTCTCCTGGTTAAAATTTTAATTAAATTCTTCATATGTAAGATATTTTTATCTCAGGTTGTAGTGAACTTCCTGAGGAAAACTGAGACCTGTACCTCCCAAAGATTGCCACCAAGAAAGATTCAGGGAAGCAGTGTATTGTCAAAACCAAGAGGCCAAGTGTATGCAATATATGACAAACATTGTTTAATATATCAGTGATTGCATAGTTAAGCCACAGTTTAGGAAACTTGTATTCCAGAACTAAGAGAATTATAACATTCAAGGAAAACAGTTTTTTTTTCTTTTTTAGATTATTATAATTAAGTAATGAATTCAATGTTGAAATAAGTCCAGTTTTAGCTTAAATGTAGTCATTTGGTCTTAAACCAAATGATCCTACAATTTGTGATTTGCTGTTGTGATCAATTAAGATAAGAAAAAAAACATTAGTGAGACACATGTTGTAATTACTATAAAAACAAATGTAACTAGATTCCAGATCTGTAAGTCACTTTTTCCTTCTTGTTGTTTAACTGTTAAAAATGAAGAATGGGAAACAGAAATGCAGAATCTTAAAAAATTATTATGTGTATATGTATATATATTTCTTCATTTAGTGTTTTCTGTACGTACCCCCACTTAATGCTTAATCAAATACTGATAAAAATTAAGTGTATAAAATCAGATTATATCCATGTAAAGTCACCAATTGTAAACACTGTGTGGAGGAAGTAATAAAACCATCATTATCAACACCAGTAATGTGTACAAAGTGAGATCATTTGTTTTCTTTTCGTAAGTGTATGTCTCCTGCCTAATGTTAGGGATGCCTCAGTTTTGATTCTGAGTCTAGAGACCAGCTATCATGACTAATGTTTTTATCACTTTCTTCAGTTCCTCCAGGAAAATATGTGGATAGTACCTTAAAACAGCCCATGACCACTTCCTTCCAGGTCTGCTAAAATTCATCATTCACACAGTCATGTCACCATGCAATGTTTTATATTGATTAAATTTCAATCACCCTCTGATAGCTTTCTCTCCCATCATCAAAGTTTTTTTTTTCTAATTCTGAATTTAACTGCAGAGATTTTATATTCTGAGTGGTGATTATGATGATTCTGGGATGTGACACCATGCAGACTGGCAGAAGTTTACCAGTGTTTTGGAGGAATGTGCTGCCTCTGAATTTAGGGTAAAAGACCTAATCAATCAAACAAGCAGCCTTGTTTCTTGGCTTTTTGCCTGATTTTGTCATTCTGTATAGTACAGAAGCTACAGGTGAATTATCCATTATTACCTGTCAACCAGCTGTTTAAGGGGCTATGCTACAAGCCGGAAGGTCGCGGGTTCAAGTTTCGATGAGGTCATTGGCTTTTTTTCAATTGACCTAATCCTTCCAGCCGCACTACGGCCTTGGAGTCAACTCGGCCTCTAACAGAAATGAGTACCAGGAATTAATTAAATAATTTTCCTGTGGAGTAAAGCATGGCTGGCACGTAAGGCTGACAACCTTACCGCCATCTTTGTGCCGATTGTCTAGATAATGTGGGACCCTCAACGTCTCACAACCCTATGGGCCTTCATGGCCTGGTACATGATAGCTTTACTTTTTTTTACTTACAACCAGCTGTTACATTGTTCACTAACACATAGCAAGAGTGGTGCACAAATTTCTGCCTGCTACTGAACAGAAACTGTTATGATTGCTAATGGATAGAAAGAAGTGTTGTTCAAATATCATTTCCAGCATGCAGAAATATTGAAATTAAAAGAATTTTCAGATGAAATTTAAGACATGACTTCAGGTGCCAAAAGGAAATCTATAGAAAATATGAATAAAAATAATCACTACATTTTGTAATTAATAATCTGTGATCTCTGCAAGGTTAAGTGGAAACTAGTTTTTTGGAGGGGTCAGCGTTTTTTGTTGGTCATCCTAGCGTATTCAGGATAAAATTAATTTTTTTGTGGTATAGTTCCATCTTTCAATTTCTGGGGGAGGTGCTTGGCTTGCTAGAACCCCCTCATCCCTGCAATTACTAAGATCTAAGATGGTGTCGGTAGAAGCCGTAGAAGCAGTACTTGGTTTTGTTTATAGGTATTTGGATCAAGATCCTTGCATAAGTGAAGAAAATTGGTGTGGAATTTGTTCTAGAATCGAATTCATAAGGATGATGAGGTAAACAAGATGAAGGTGCAGACAAATAATGTAAGTTACACAAATGAGAAAATAGGTGAGAAAAAACAAAAAAGTAAAGTAATGGGAGGATCTGTCAGGGAAGTGAAGCATAGATTAAACTATGTATTGGAAATACAGGTTATTATAAAAGCTGGATCCACTGTAGGAAAATCTGTAAAAAAGACATGCTCGGATTTAAACACATTAACTAAGAGAGATGTTTGTTTAGCATGGGGAGGTACAAATGATGGGAGAAATGAGACCAACATTGGTATTCGTGTGCTGAATGAATTTGTAAAGTTCACATGAATATTCTAATGTTATGCAAAATGTTCCTCATTGACACATTGACATGATCTTGCACGTAAGTCATATATAAATTATGAAGTTAATTTTTTAATAGAAAACTAGGAAGACAGAAAGGTGCATAAAAATTTGTTAGTTATAACTGTGGACTTCAATAGGGATTTATGTACAAGTCACAGGTTTCACTTAAATGCTAAAGGGAAGGAGTAAACAGCATATAGAGTTACCTCAGAAATAAAGGATCGAGATTAGCTCTTTTTAAGGGGCCCAACTGAGTAGGTGTCTTACTTTCTCACCTGAAAATGGAAACAGATCCAGTTTCCGAAACATTGTGTCCTCTATTTCCTAGAATTCTGGAGGATGGAAAAAGTCCAAAAACCCAGTAATTCTGTGAATAAAGGACGTGTTCCACATAAATAAGTGTTTCTGATAGCCTTAAACTGGAAAGATGTGGAGAATAGGAATAGTTATCCAAGTGTAACTAAACAGCTTCTGGGTGGCCAGGAAGTCAAGGTGATTGATCATTAAAACAGCTCTATTACAAATGTATGGAAACAGTGAATGTGGTGACTATATAAAAAATGATGAGATCAATAATTTGAGTGTGGATAATCATGTGCAGAACTTCAGGAGAGTTACCTTACCTTATCAACTGGCTTTACAGCCCTTTGTGGGCCTTAGCCTCCTGCACCAACAGCCTCCAAGCATCTCTGTCCATCGCAGTGGATCTCGAGTCTTTAACTTTCAGTATCTTGCTAATTGTATTTACTAAGTAATTGATTGAATTGGATGAATTGAAGCTTATATATTTATTATTATCTGATATAAAAGAATCAGCTGTAGATAGGAAGTATTTCATTCATTCATTCATCAGTAATCTGTCAAGACGACAGGTCCACAGTCTCTTCCAAAACAGTTCCTCCACTTGATGCGATCTAGAGCTTTCCCTTCAAATGAAAATATCCTCTTCTGTCCCCAAGGTCGTCCAGCATCTTCTTACGTCTTCTTTCTTGTCTTCTGGTCACTTCTATCCGCCCCTCTATCTTTCCTTCAATAACTTCTTTTAGAAGGCAGTTGCCGCGTAAGATATGACCAATCCAATTAGCCTTCCGTTTTCATATTTCGTGCAGGATATTCCTCTGCTCACTGACTCTAAATAACACTTCTTCATTTCTCACATAATCGGTCCAACTGATCATTAAAAGCAATTGCAATTTTGTTCTGATTCATTATTACTTTAGTATCTACCATTATGGAATGAATAGCTTTATCCTCATTTATTATTTTCCAAGTACAGGTAAAAGTATTTATTGCTGTTCTAGCGAACAAAGCATGGGGGAGGAGCACTCAGAATAGTTGCTATGTTAGCATACCTTCTTACCGATTGTGCTGTCGGCCATTCTAAATTTAGTTAATGTATGATGCGTAGAGGTGGCAGCAGCATTGCACCACGTAGCCCACCAATTCCATGGGAGTTTCTCGGGTTCACGGGGCTGGTACCTGACATCTGCTGGAGTTTCGATGTATCAAACTTGTTGCGTCATGTTGCTAGGTAATCTGATTGGCTGTTGAACGGTTTCGTTACATGGTGGAAGGCTGTCATGGTGGTAGGTATATGTTGGTTCTTGTTGTTGACGAAATAACCATCAAAACCAGCCATGCTGCAAGAAGTTAATACTGTTCACAAGCACGGTGAAAAATCAGTTGCTGTAGAGAAAAGTACGTGTGAATTACAAGTGTTCAAGGAGCCTCTTTCACGGGTAGTAACACCGAAAATCAAAACGAAGAAGGTGCTGGATGAAGATTCTTACATTCAGGTAAAGAATATTGTATTCAGTAACAACCAGGTGCACCGTATGAAACTGAATAAATATATGTTATTTAAAGAGATATGTTCACCATGTTGCAGGAAATGGGTCGAATCATTCAAAGGGACTTCTTTCCGGACTTGGAAAAACTACGAGCACAGAATGCATATTTAGAGGCGGTAGAAAGAAATGATGTAGAAAAACTGAGAGAAATTTATGCGAAATATAGTTCTGGAAAACGCCCACCAACAGAGAGATGTAAGTAAAATTCACTAGGACGGTTGTATTTCGTTTTATGAAAATTTAATCTTGCCATGCACTGATGTGTTGAAGTCTGACATGTTGAAATGAGGTTAGGTGGAGATGCCGTCCCATACTTCTACAGTAATGCATAGCACTCGCAGTTTATTTTAAAAACAAGGAATTGTTATTTTGCAATATATGATTAATGTTGTAATATATCGAATTGTCATTTGGAGACACCATTGATATCTCTAGCATTGAGTCTAGTCATGTAACTGAATTTATCAGTTGGATTTACTTCTTTCCCTTCCTGGTGGCCTGTTCCCAGTCCTTTGTGTGAATGTGGGCTACTTAGTTCTGAGTCTTCACACACTGGCATATCACACTTCAAAGAAATTTATGCCAAGGGTTTTGTGTTTGTCAGTGACCTTTCACAATTGAGATTACTGAATAATTTCTAATTAATTAATTTCTGCACTTGGCCAAGTGCAGCTAAGATGGGAAAGTAGATATAACAGGTCAAAAGGCCACTTATGACTTTGCTAGTCTAATCTGTTTTGTGGGATTTCTTTAGTTAAAAATCATTATAGTAATTCAGAACACTACTTCAGTGTGTTCTTTACAAAGTGACAGTTCCTAGTGTTGCATTTGATTGCAGCTATAAATGGATTTGTTTACTAAAAGGACAAGAAGCTTAACTGACATTCTGCATTCCCATGGAACATGAGATAAAAATGTAGACAGTTCTCAAGTTAGTTCCCAGACAGTGTTAAAAAAATTGTTGTACGGCTTTTATGAATCCATCTGTCTCAAGAAAACCCATGAGTTCGAGACTAGAGGAATCTTTGTTAGTAACAGATATGTTTCAAAAATACTAGACGAGTTTACCGATTACAGGATGTGTATAAGGGCTATTCGTCATTCTGCAGATTGTCTAATGCAGCCTACATGACATTTACAGATTCCATATGTTTTATATATATATATATATATATATACATACATATATATAGGAATTATGTCACCGTCAACACAGTATGTCGGTATATAATACGACACGTTGCACAGATAAGGATC